TTTCAATCTGGTGGTAGCCAGAAGCTAAGTCTAGTGTTGTAAAGTAATTGGCCCTACCAAGTCTGTCGAGTATGTCATTAATGTTAGGTAGAGGGTATTTATCGTCAACTGCCTTGTCATTTAATTTCCGATAGTCTATAACTATGCGCCATTTCTGTTTGCCTGAGTGATCTAATTTTTTAGGAACTATCCATATGGGACTGCTCCAAGGTGAGGTTGACGGTTGAATGATACCTTGTTCCAACATTTTGGCCATTTGAGATTCAACTTCTCTTTTGTGAACTTCAGGGAATCTGTACGATTTAGTAAACACAGGGGTTTCGTCTTTAAGTTTGATTTCATGAGTAATTTCGTTAGAAAAGCTAAGAGGAATTTCTTCGCAATGGAATATATCTCGATACTTATAACAAAGCTCACTAATCATTTTTTTCTCTTCACTATTGCAATGATTCAACCTGAGATTTTTCAAGTTAGATTTCAAGAGGGAATCTTGTTCATTACTCAAGTTATTACTATAGTCGATTTTTTCAATGAAATTTATTTCGTTAGGGTCTAAAAGTTCTATATCAAATGGTTGGGTGATGTTAATCTTGAATGTTGTTGAATTTGGGTTTATTATTGTTGTGATTGCGAAAAAATTACGAATATTGACTACGGCTGTTGGTGATTGTACTTTGTTTCCGAAATCTATGAAATCTAGTAAACCTAATCCATTTTCGTAACAAACTGGGATTTTGAAAACTAGTTGGGTCATTGGCGGAACTATTAAGGTATTTATTAAAATGTTTAGAAGGCTCAGAAGTGTTTTCGTCGAGAATCATAGGGATTTGAACATTTGGTGTGGTTAGAATTTTATTCTGAATATCGATGTTTGCATTCAATTGTTTGAGAAGATCCATACCTATTAGTCCTTCATACTTTTCGTTGAAGTCGAAAACATGGAACTTGTGTATCTCTTGTGTGTGAAAAATTCCAAAAATTGGAATGATCAATACTTCGTTATGGAAACTCACGTCATGTGACGTTTGAATACTAAAAGTTTCATTCGTTATGTAATTTGGATAAAATTGGTAGGCTAATTTTGGACTGATCAAACTTCGAGAACTACCGGTATCGATTAAGAATTTTGCTTGAATTTCTGGTATAAAAATAAATGGTAAGTCATTTTTCAAATGGTTGAGTTTAATAACTATGTTGGATGATTTTTGGGAACATCCTGTGAAAAATTTAAATCTTCATCATATATGAGATTTCTTTTTGAGGTGTGTCTAGCTGATCGAAATCTTGATATACATTTGGCTGTTCAAAATATTGGTCAGTTTGTTCACATTCCTGATTTCTTGGGTCATAAGGTTCAGAGTAATCGTTAGGGTAATCATATTGTGATTATTCTTCTTTGTTATGGAGTTCTTCCGACACAAAATTTCTAGGACCCGTGCTTTGGAAATAATTTTGTCTATTAAAATTTTGTCTTTGATGTTGAACTGTCGGGTTTCTAGTAGAAACCGACATTGGTTCTGGTCTGGTATTAGGTGTCTGTCCCGTAGGTTTAAATGCATTACGGGGTGGACCAAATACTTGTCGATTTGTGAAATAATTTTGTTGACCTAAATTTTGTCTTGGTTGAATATTTATTGGTTGAGATGGAAATTGATTTCTTGGTGGATTATTCGGATTTTGATTGAAATGTTGATTAGAAAAATTTGGCCTCTGAAAGTTAGAGTTTTGGAAATTTGGTCTCGAAAAATTTGGGTTTGGATTAAAAGTTCGATTTTGGTACGAATTTTGGGGTCTAGAAAAATTCACATTATGATTAGGTTGTTTCTGAGGAAATGATGGAATTTGTCTCTGATTTAGAATAAAATTTTCCTCTTCTAAAACGTGTGAGATTGCTAACTCTAAGCTGTCAGGGTTTCTCAGTCTAACCATATCTTGAATTCTGCCAGTTAAACCACGAATGAATGTTTTAAGAGCAAGCTCGTCATAGTTTCTCATTTTGAAAGCTCTTTCGTCTGCAGGTAAATTCATTGAAATCAATTTTGATGCAATAGCACTTCGACTTTTTTGAATTCTCTGACCGAAAGTAAAGAATGATTCGTTTCTATGAGGTCTCATGATAATCATTTCTTGAACAAGACAATCTAAATTTCTTTGATCACCAGAACTAAGCCTGAGTAGATTTTTCAAAGCATTCCAATCTCTTATTTCTGGCCTACTACCAACTAAACTCAACGCATTTCCTGATAATTTTCCTATTACAGCCCTGATAAGAAAATCATTGATAGGATCGTTAAGATTGTCATTATTTTTATAAGTTCTTACAAGATAGTCACAACGTTCTAGAAATATTTCCAAGGTACTTTCATCACTACCATTGAAATTTGGTATTGTATCGATGTATAATCTAAGTAATTGATAATTGACTGCCATTTCGTTTCTATCTATTCCTAAATTATTCAATCTTTCTATTATTTCCTCAATTTTTGAATCTTATGTACTTACTACTTTGAAAATTGATATGAAATTATTCTAATCTGATTATACTTCTGCCTAATTATGTTCTGAAAATATTATATGCTCTATTTTTTTCTAGAACGCAATTGTATTCATCAATTCACTCCTATACTAAATTTTGTTGTGTTCACCAACAACTAGAAAAACATATGCACTGTTCTACTAGGGATTTCGACTTATTTGCCACAGAAAATAATAAAAATGGGAAAAGGAATGAAAAGGATGGCTCACCTTTGAATGGTACCGTCTGTCTTCTTCCTGGACCCTGGGTGTTGATTTCTGAAGTCTGCACCGATTTTTCTGTTCGATTTTCACACCGAATTGTACGATTTTCGCCCGTGAAGAGTAAAACTCAAAACGAATACACGATGAGACGTCCCGGGCGTATCCTACCGACTGCGCCAGTTATTTTCGAAAAACCGGCAGAAGACTTTTTAAAAAACGTTTATTATGTTATCTGGACAAGGTATACGGTCAAAATCGTCGGAAAAATGAATTACACATGTATTTATAATGTCGGTTGATCTTGAGAGACGAAATATGAATCTGCTGATCTCGCTGCTTTCCGGGAAACGGCCTGGGAAGTGTTGTACCTAGCTCGGTACCGTGGGACCGCTCGATGTAACTCGCGAAACTCGTTTCCGCTAGATAGCGTACAGAATTTTAGCGCGAAGTAGTATTATGGTGATCAGATGTATTATTCCATAAGAGACCATTGTGTATGATATTGTGTTCATTCAAATTCGACTAAACTAACGAAAATGTCAAAAGTTGAATTGAGTTAATCGGACATTTTTGCCTACGGAGGTATTCGTCAAAGGCCAATAAAAGTAGGCCTTGAAGCCGTCTTCAAGGCTGTTCATATTATCCTATGTCAGCCGAATAATGAAAAAATCAGTTCTGTTTGATAGTCAGAAAATATTTGGTCAATGTTTGCAAACAAGTGTTCTTACTTCACTACCGCACGAAATAAACATGAACTTGAATTGTGATCCCCTAAATGGTATTGTATTTATATTTTATAAGTTGAGGAAGGGGCCCTTTACATAACCTCAAATATTCACCTTTGATGGTATCGTTCTCCAAGAAATGCTGACTTTGTAAGGAATTTCCCAAGTTTTCTTCTTCTTGCATAAATCTTTGCTTTTGAGGAAAATATTGCAGAGAAATGGGACACTGAGCAAATAGGCCTGGAATTGAGTTTCCTGACTACTGCAGCCCATTTTAATTCACTCATCTTGAAACAATGTCCATTGAAGAATATTGTCAAGAAGTAAAAAGGTCCATTAAATAACTTTCGTTCATTTCTAGATCTTTATTCATAAATTAACTTTTCCAAATTGAAACATCTTGTACAGCGTTTCGATCAGGTCAAAGCGGAGTTCATAGACTCTAGTTCCGGTAAAATTTGCATGAAACCGCTTAGCTTGCGATGCGGGCTAAGCTATACGCCCGGTATCGAGCATTGCCATTGCGGAAAATTGCAATGTTAGCATCAATTCCAAATATAAATAGATTCCGAATCGATAAGCCATTCATTATTGATTATTCATTATTATTGATTTACTCATTACTGATTATTCATTACTGATTACTGATTACTAATTCATTACTATTTGATTATTACTAATTATAATGCATTTCGATAACACGTTACTTTATTCCGTAATTGAGTTACTAATTCACGAGTTGCTGCCAAAAAGTGTACCGTCCAAAACCATCTGAGTTGCGACAATATTACTCAACTAAATTTGTTGTCCAAAAATCCCATAATAAGGCGAACACAGTGAAAAAAATACACTACCACTTATGACAAGAAATACTTTATATACTTTATATGATTTCGACTGAATAAACATGCACTTTTTGCGCATTTCACGAATTGATTTTGTTTAATGCGCGATATATCGACCACCATCATTTGAGAGAGAATCTCCAAATAGTAATCTGGATCGAAATTTTGAGCAAATTAAGATATGATATATTAAGAGGCTCATGGACATGTACCTACCTACTCATATAATTATTTTTTCTACTTATTCCATCGAAAGTAAGCGTTTGCTCACTCATTTAAGGACATACACCTGTCAATTTACTCCCACGGGAGAAAAAAAATAGTACCTTCCGTGGGAAGTAAAATAAATCGGCTTCTGCTGACTTCCTTAGTAGAGATATGCGTATGAGATTTGTGCTACCCAAGTACCTAATCAGTGTCTCAAATAGCAAATAACAATTTCCTTTTCTGTCTCCAATGATCTCATACACTTCCTCATATTCCGAACTTACTTATTGAAACTCTAAAATGCATTTACACTATAAACAAATTCATTGAGTTTATTAAAAATGCAAACAAAAAAATCAAACCGAGTGATCTCTGCGAGGGATTCAATCAAATACTTTCGGCGATAACTCCAAACAGACGTTGCAGCAACATAACAGGAATGAGATTCAAAAGTGTGGTTCATATAACTACTAATAGAACTTACCTGGCCTTATATTCGCAATGATGTTATGAATGAGAGTACTAATAACTTCAGACCAAGACAATGATAATCCTTTCGAGGATAACAATTGTCTGAGTAGATTCTGCATGTGCTGATCAGATGCTTCAGTTAATAGATTATAGGCAGACTTTTCTCCATTTTCTTCTCTAAGATTGGAAGCATTGAACCAACCTGGAAAAATATTATATTTCTGGTTTTACAGGCATAATTACAAACATACTACATAGTTCCATCAAAAGAAAGAGTGAGCGTATACCCATGTGCGAGATAAGTAATTACTTTCAACCTTCTCACACTTTATATACTCGCATCTTCTACATGGAGCACAGCAAAGCACTCGGTTTATCCAAAAGTGCTCCAACTGATCTCGCAATTTCCAAAATATCGCGATTTTAGTAAAGATTCGATTTTATCCGTACTCTACTCCATATTTCCTCTTATAATACAACGCTTTCAAAAAAGTAAATTCATCCCAGCATCCGAATACCGCATTGATCTAGAAGTATGATAGAACATAATATACGTGTAAAACTCCCTACCCCTATAGCTGATAAAAGTTAATTAAAAAAAAAGATAATGCGACATTTTTGAAAGGCACCTAGGACTATGCGATAGTTCTCTAGAAAGCAGTTTTCATTTGTGATCCAAATTTCATTTCTTTATAAAATCCAAATATCCGCGCTTCATGTTCAAAATGTTGACAATCCATCATTTCTGAAAAGTTATACACAAGGTATTCAAATGCGAAATTGTTGGATATACCATATTCCACTTCGACAGGGTTATACATTTTGTGCTATTTGTTGACAGCAGTTACAGTCATTGGGGGCTACATTATCAGTCTCATCAGTTGGCTTTACTAGAGCGTGAGGTCAATGTCAAAGTCAAACATCCCAAAATGTCGCCGGACAGCCCTGAAGGCTAAGGCATATTCTCACGAAAATTTCATGAGAAAATGGTGTGGCATATGTTAACAAATATAAGAGTTCATGTTATAGTTGAATTTGATCAGGCACGCGTTTTCAATTCTCAATGTAAAACTTTACATGCGATTTTGACATTAACAGAGAAGATATCTTAGAAGAAACTTAATGAAACAAAAAGAAGAAGTATTCCTGTCAGTTCTACCAACCTTGACCTCACCTCTCAGTAGCGCGATCTGGTGGACAATAAGAAATATTAGCCCTCATTTGAAGATGACTAAATCACCTTCTGTGATGTCACTCTTATTGTTGTGCTGCCACTTGCTTCGATTGATCAGAGTTGGCACATATTCTCGTACCCAACGGCGCCAAAAGAGATCAGCAAATCTTTGTGCAATACGCCATTGTTTTCGTAAATGTGAATCCGAATTAGAAAACACACCTGGCGAACCTACTTCATTCATTTTACCAATGAGGAAATCATTAGGTGTCAAAGCTTCGCCATCTAGGTAGTCCGACGAGACATATATGTACATATAATTGGATGGCTATTCACTGTATACTCTACTTGAACTAGAATAGTTCGCAGAATTTCTTCTTTAGGAGTCTGTTGAGTTAGTTAGTATTCCCAACAACATATAATCTCCAAAAGTTCAAAAAAAAATTCAATACCTACCTACCTCCTGTCCCCATCCTCCCTAGGAACGCACGATGTTCTTTGAACATTATAGGGATTCCCTTTCGTGCGCTCCCAGCGATTAAAAAAAAGTTCTCAAAGCATTTTTGACAATTCTTATCATCCTCTCTCATACTCCTCCCATGTGGCTGGCTGCTGGTGGATTTTTTGACCATTTAATATGTCGAACACAACAAAATTGCTGGACCTTGTTTGCGTCAATTTCTTGAACGGCTAACTTCATCTCTTTTTCAGCTTCACAGAGGTTTGTTCCATTATCGGAGTGTATTTAAGAATTACTTCCACGTCTACGAATGAATCGACGGACATCCATTATTGCAGAATCAGTTGTAAGAGAAGAAGATAGCTTGAGGTGAATGTCTCTCGACATGAACGTGAAAATCACACCGTATCGATTTTCCTTTCTTCTTCCGATGTTGACTGTCATAAGACCAAAATAATCCATTTCGGTGATCATAAAGGCTCTGACTTGCGGAATTGTCCAAGAATCTGGTACTTGACCTATTTGTTGCATCACTCACACAACATTTTACAGCTGATCTCGCATCAATGATCCAAAATCTTCACCTTAACTGATTGATTATTTGTTCTCTGCCCTGATGATGATTCAAATTATGATAATGTATCACTATTAATATTGTTAACCAACGTTTCGAGGCCAGCATGATATCTCATTTTTAAATCCAAATGTTCAGCTTGATCCAGTCCTCCGCTCAATCTTAATGCTTTATTTTCGTCTAGGATGGTATTCAACTTCGAAAGACGACTCGACCTACTAGGATTTTCTTTTCGGATAATTCGTTCTATTTCTACAGCAGAACTTTCGTTCTGCGAATTCTTGCTAATTTCGAATTCAGCATCTACAAATTCTTTCACCTATAGTTCATTTGAGTATGACTGAGTACTCAATAGGCCAATTTCCATTTTCAAAATGTTGATGAATCTGGTTACCCATACCGCCGCTCTCACGAAACGCAAATAATTTGAAAATTCAGAGAAGTCGAATACACCCTTCATGTTTCCCATTGTCACGAACACATAATTCTTTCTCCTCTCATCTGTTTTTGCCGATATCATCCCTTCGTCTTGAGGCCATAATTTTTCATCTGAAGTGAGGAATTGAGGTCCGTTGAACCATTTCTTGTTGTCGATGTCCCACATTCCACGGGTTGCTTAATCTGCTACATTTAGTTGAGTCGGAAGCCAATGCAAATCTTCGGAATTTGTTGACTAATATTTCCCCTATTCGGTTTGCGCCGAAAGTCTTGAAGTTCCTTAGAGGTGACATTATCCAACTCAGTAATATTTTGAGTCAGTACAGTACAGAAGTACTTCTTGTTAATTTTCAGGCCATGTCCATTCGAAATTGTTTCAGTTAAACGAGATCCCTAACAGAGCTGCTTGAAGTTCAATCTTTGGTACGGTCGTCGGCTTCAAAGAATTGCATATTGCACCAAATATCATGACTTGCATTCGATAGGTTAGAATAGAACCATTTCTATCTCTCCCTCGCCACAAAAACAACTGAGAATTTTTGACTTCCGGTTGTATATGAACTTGTAATTTTCAATAAATTCTTGTTCAAACTTGTACCGCATACTTCGGCTCTGGCATCAAAGACAAAATGAATTCTTTCTGGCTCACTCGGATGTTCAACTGTTAAGTGTGGCAAGTACCATTTCTTGCTTGTATCCAAGGCAGCGGTTTCGCTCGTTAAAACTCTAGCTTATCCTTACTGCACATAGTCTTCTATTTGTCTATATTATAGTTGTCGGCAAACTTTCCGTTTCCATCTTTCTTCCCCTAGTGTATAATCGGCTGAGGGCAGGGGACTACCTGTCAGGTAATATAGTATCATCTGCTTTCCAGTCTAATTTCCCAATGGGGATTTTCTAATTGGTGGCAACTTTGTTCCATCATTTAAAGGCACTACACACTGTTTTACCACTGACCAAACCGATTATTGTTCGCCTCGACACGTGTTTCGCTTACTATGTTAGCATCTTTAGGAGAAGATTAAAACAATTTCAATTTAGTAGTAAAACAGTGTGTACCGTATTATCGTGCCAAAGGTTCCAGTCCTTCATATATTATTTGAAGGTTTTCATATTTTTTTTCAGGAATATTTTTTTTAACTTCATTTTCGACTACAAGCATATCCATGAATATGGTCTGATGTATGAGGTTCTTCAATTCTTCATCATCCTGGGTCAAACAATGCATTGAACACTAGTTGTCACTTCTATTCTTGCACTTACATAATTTTCCATGGACTACCCATTCCAATTTAGTTAATAATACAACAGGAGCATTGGTAGGACCCTGCATAATGTTTCTTGCTACTGTGAGATCGATGTTTAATTTATTAGAGTCACTGGATGGTATTAGTTATTATTAAGTTACACATATTCCATTGTGACAAGAGCATCATAGTCGTCCCGCGCTTTTTCATTCAAAATTGTTTGAATTTGACAATACATTTTATGAACGTCGGAATTGAAATATAATCTCATAAACTATTGAGAAGAAAGCATGAATAAAAATGTCCTGCCGTGTAATGAATTTGTGGGAATTCTGAAGAGAATGGATTTCATTTATTCAATTTTCCAAAGGAAATATCAGGAAATATCAACCATGCTCTTATGGAAGTAGTGTATGAAACGGCCTGGATGGAAAATTGATTTGAAGACGAACAAAATTTGTGAGGTACTTATATTATATTAAAATTCACTTCTTATAGGATGAAACTATATTTCAAGTCCATTTTCGAATAGAGGATTTTAAGAACCGTTTGAGAGAATCTACTGTTCCATCCATTCACGAAACTGAACTAATGTGGGCATAGGCATCATGACTGATTATTCAACCTTGGAGGAGATTTATCGCCCACTGGAATTGTAGATGTTCTGGCAATTTCGATAAGAGTTGGCTGAGACGTTGAGGATTGTTAATGTATGCCTCCATTTTCAATGACTGAGCAGTAACTCTGAGATTCTGAACAGAATTTGCGAATTTCATTAATGATAATGCATACTTCGTATTAGCTGGAGATAACAGCTTCACTTTATTCATTATAGAATCCATTATGAACTCAGGATGTCCAAATCTGGTCTTTAGTGTGTAATGAAGTGTTTTCGACCAGCGTCATTACTAGACTGGTTTTGATTAATATCTTAGTAACCTGAGACTGATTCTACTTGAATTTCACTTGTTCAAAAGAGCGAAACCTGAAAACTTGAGAGAGCTAAGTAATGCATTGATTCCTGACTTTCCAAAGTTTTCCTGATAGTAAACTCTGATGAACATCATTACAACACTAAAGAGTTCAATATTTTTCAACCCTTTGCTTATGATATGAAATTTGGATGAATTATTCATCAGTTGAAATGATGGATGTTTACCTTGTCATAACTTTGTAGTGACCCCAACACTTTGTAGGTTCATGATTGCAATAACGATTTGGGGGACTTTGTTTAATAATCAATTTTCTGAATGATATGAGATAATGTCAATATATATTCCTATTAACTAATAAAGTACTATTATTCTAT